GCTTTCTTTACATATTTATATTGCATGTTACAAAGCAATTACATAATTATGACTTCAATTCGAACGTATAGCTATTATGACTCTCAAATGATCTAGTGATTCGATCATGCTAAGCGATTTTGACTTTACATCACATTTTACGTGAAGTACAATCATAATACCGATATGATTCTAGTGGTTACACGAAACCCATCCAAATTGAGTAGTCATGTTCATTATACGACATGTGTGTAGTACTATGTAACCTGATGGTTCTCTTACACTCTCCCCATTTAAAACAGTTTTGCCAGTTTTTTCGAACTCTTTTACCAAATCTTTATAATTTTCAAGATTAGTCAAGGGTTTCCAAGTAGCATCGTATAGTGGGTGACCTTTCTATTTTACTAAGTACTATAGGCGATGGTAGTATGTTCTCTTGTCTAGTATGGCTTCGACTTCGTGTTCTTCTAGATTTTTGGTTACAATTTCTGGAGGTTCTTTTCTTACTTCATCTCTAAACTCACTAGGGTAGTAAGGATTTAATAAGGATATGTGAAAAACTGGGTGAATACGTAGTGTTTCCATGAGTTTTAATCGATATATTACTGCTAAAATTTTCTGAACGATTTTGAAGGGTCCTATAAGTTTTGCGATAAGTTTCTTTGATGCCCTTTTTGTATTTTTTTGTGGAATTATATTTGTCGAATTCAATAATATTAAATATCCTTCATTTAATTATAGATAATATTACTTTTTGTTGGCTTGATCACTTTGTTTCCCTTGAGCATTTACTAATGAATTTTTTGCTATATTTATTATCTCTGTCCAATGCTCGAACAGTTCTTGTACTGCTTTAACATTTGTTGGGTTAACCTTTTCATTTGTTAGGCTTAATGGTGTCCTTGGATGGTGTCTGTTATCTAATTGGAATGGTATATAACCTGTAGATCCTTGTAACAAATTATTGTAAGAAAATTCTGCAGTGGCAAAATTTCTTCCCAATTGTCTTGCTTGTAGTTTACATAGGCACGCAAGACTTCTTCGAGAATTCTGTTTATACGTTCTGTTTGTCTATCAGTTTGTGGATGTGCTGATGTCGACATTTTTAACTCTGTTCCCATTATTTTGAAAAGGCACTTCCAAAATTTACTTGTAAATTTTGGGTTTCTATCAGAAACTATAAAACAAGATAGGCTATGGTGTTTAAAAATTTCTTTGAAAAAGACTTGAGTGACTTCTGCTGCTGTTGCGGAACTTCTGGTAGGTAAAAAATATGCTTTTTTGCTCAACTTATCTACCACTATCATAATTAAATCGTTTCCATTTCTCGTACATGGTAGGTGCGTTATAAAATTCATCGACACGATTTCCCAAGATTGTGACGAGATTTCTAAAGGTTGCAATAATCCTGCTGGCACTTGTGTGGAACTTTTGTTTCTCTGACAGCTATCATAGCTTCTTGTATATTTCTTCACATCTTTACTCATATTTTTCTAATAGTAACTTCGTCTTAAACTCTCATAGGTTTTTTCGAATCCGAAATGCCTATTCAAGTCGTGGCTTTCTTTTAATAACGGTCTTCGTTCTTCAGATTCTTTTGCTATGCATAATCTCGGCTCTTCTGTTCCTTCTCTGAAAAATAATAATCTATTTTCTTTTATTTCGAATCTACTTACCTGCTTTCCTAATCTTTTAGCTTCTTCGCACTGAGGGTCTTCCAGCGCTTTTAAAATTCTTTGGAAATAGGTATCTTCTTTATATTCTTTTTTTATCCTTTCGTACATATCATTTTCGATACTAATTTCTGTTATTGCATTTGCTTTAGGTTTTCTTGACAGTGTATCGGCGACAACATTAACCTTTCCTGGACGGTATCTAATAGTGAAATCGTATACTTGAAGGGTTTCAACCCAACAGGCTTGTCTGCGTGATAGCTTTGTTTGGGATTGTAGGTATTTCAGTGACTCGTGGTCAGTTATTATTTGGAGGGTGTTTTCTTCTAAATATATACACCAAATTTTTAGTGTGTGGATAATTGCTAGGAGTTCCTTTTCGTGTATTGGATAGTTTAATTCTGCAAGAGTTAGTTTTCTTGATTTGTACACTACCGGTTGTTCTCCCGAGTCTTGGTTTTGGCATAGAACTGTACCTATTGCAACGTCCGAGGCGTCAGTTGTAAGTATGAACGGTTTGCTATGGTCTGGAATTAATAAAACTGGAGCAGATATTAATGTTTCTTTGAGTTTTTTAAATGCCATCTCTTGTGGTTTTTTCTACTCGAATTTTTCGTCTTTCTTTAGTAATTTTGTCAACAGCATTGCGGTGTTCACAAAATTTTTCACAAACTTCCGATAGTAATCTGCGAGGCCTAAAAACAATCAGAGGTCGTGAGCACTGGTAAGTGTGGGCCATTCTTGGATAGTTTTAATTTTTTTGAGGTCCATCTTTACTCCTTCGTTTGAAATTATGTGTCCTAAAAATTTTACTTCTTTCTTCTCTAATTCATATTTTTTCATTTTTTTGTATAGCTTGTGTTGTCTTAAAATTTTGAATACTTCTTTTATATGCTTGCGGTGTTCTT